ATCTAGTATGTTTGAAGAGTAAGAGCTCGGAGTACATCTTAACATTGCCAATCGTTCTCCTCGAATCTAAATCCTGAAATTTGCATAAGTTATGAGAACAATTTAGTAATATAGTTATGATCTTAGGTAAGTTTATTTATTGATAACAAGTTGCAATTCAAATTAGATATATGAAGTATTCCCTTTAAGATTAACTCATTTGAGATGGGGGATTTCACCTATTCCGACCACTTTTTTTTTTCTTTTTGAGAAGAAAGTGTAAGTATATATATTATGGTAGGCGCCAAGGGAGCGCCACTTTTAAGTAAGATCTATCTACTATTTTTACGGTGGATTCTCTTGCCATGAATTATATTCTTGGAACAATGTTTTATTTTTCGTCATGTGGTTGGATGCTTATGAGTAAATAATAGTATCTTGACTTCCTGAAATAGCAGTAAGAGCATCAAAGGAAATATCTTTTTTGACTATTATCCCAAATCTTATGTTATTATTGGAATTTTGATGTAGGAATGTTTTTTTGGAGGGCTTTTACTTGCTTTTTATTGAATGGACATGATTCTTTAGTAGAGGCACTTTCATCAATAGAGGAATGATTTTTCTTATTTTTTTTGTCAGTGGTTGATTTTGTGGTAAGTTGGTTTTCTATTAACTTTTCAGCAATTCTCGAGTATGACCTATTTTTTGTAATGATCACACTAAGATTTTTTTTTTTTTTAACCGGTTGTTTGAGTTGGGATGAGAGCCTCGATAAATAGGGCAGAGTTTTGCTCAGTAGTAGGGTATGTAAATTCATTTCCTAGCATTACTTATTTTAGCTTTCTTCTCTCCTTATTTTGGAGAATACCTAATGAACAACAAGTAATGATTTCATTTAGAGTATTCTTTTAAAGACTTTATTCAGATTTTTATTCAATCCTATAAGAAATTTGAAAATTTCGTTTTCTTTCAACAATTTCTCTGTACTATTTTGTATCATCTGGACAGTTTGGCGCAAGGTCCTCAGGCACATCGAGCCATTGCCTGTTCATGTAAGCATACTGTAGTATTGGGTTACGGATAGATATCCTTGTTGCAAGTCGTGAAAGATAGATTTAACGGAAAAACTTTTTAATGTGTCTCGCTCCCTTTTCCGCATATAAGTATCCTAACCGATTGAGACTATTAAATGTAGTTGCTTTCATTTAGTTTGTGGTATGTGATTGAAATTTAAGTGGTTTCTGATTTGGGTGATTTGATAGAAATAATTCTATCTGACCGAGATGTGATTTCAGAGAGGTCACTGGTTCTTGCCATGACCATTCTATATTTGGTCATCAATAAAAGGAGAAAAAAGTTTTTTAGCGTTCAGAGAGGTCACCAATATCATTTGTTGCAAGGACTAAGCCATGCATTTGTATCCATGGAGTAATTCAAACTTTGAAACTTCGAATAGCTCATTAAATCAGTTATAGTTTGTGTGATTGTATTTGCTTCTCGGATAACCATAATAATTCTAAAGCTAAAATGTGCAACAAATCCTAATTTCTAGAAGAGATGCATTTATTAGAAAAAAGATCGATGCGGACTTGGCCCATTGCTTTGGCACCATGAAAATTTGTGATTAAATTTTTTGTTTATTAAATTTTTATTCATGATATTTAATTTACAACATGTGAATATATATAGAAAAATATTAAAGAGAATTTTAGCAGGAAATTAAATACAGATCAATCTTATAAAAGAAAAAGATCTTCTAGTTATGCATGTCTTTAGGCTAGTTAAGAACATTAGCATTATAACTGACTTGGTTGAGAACCTTTTAGGAGCCAGTATTTCTCAAATGAAGCTTCTTGTGGATGACTTCAAGGAACCTACCTGTTTTGATTCTGAACCATTATAGTATCTAATTGAAACCAGCAACAATTCTTTTTAAGTTGGCCTAGGCATTGCATCTTTCATGGCTTCAAGCAAGTCAGTTGTTGAGCCATTTAGGTATTTAAGCTATAGATTTAATCTTTTCATGGTAGCTTAAATTTTAGAATAATCTATCATCGTACATGTATCGGAGTTAGAAATTAAGAGCTTGAATTTTGCTGGTACCATTTATACTAGAGAGCTTGTGCTTGTGGAGCTGAATTAGAATATAAAAGTTTTGTTAGTTTAAGCTTTTAGCTTTAGGATAATTGGTCACTTAACTTTTATTCTTTTAAGCTTTTGACATAAGTTGGTAATTAACATTGGTTACGCAGTTGGGTAGTGTTGAGGATTGAATAGGACAAGGCTGTTGGGTTGAGTAAGATTAGCTATGAAAAGGATCATAGTCTACATATTTTTGAGATGATTAGAGAAATGAGTACTATAGACAAAAGTGCATGTTACCTTTTTCTTGATTCATATTAATAAAGGTGACGGTGGAGATGGTGGCACCAGAAGCAGGGGATGGTGGCAGTGACAGATCCTTAATTCATCTTTAAGTTTTATGGACATGGAAGTTGCCAAACTCAACCATTCTATAATTTAATTCATAAATACATCATAGCAGAACTAGACAGAAAAGTACTATAAATGAATTAAAACCATAAATAAATAATGCAGTTTCGGTGGTGCATCATTATTAAGAAAACGATACTGATCCTGGCTGTGTATCTTTCTCTGTGTTTGTCTAACACTATTTTTCTAAATGTCTGATTATTGTTTTTGTCTAGTTATCTGGTGTGCAATTACTTATTGTTTAATATTTATACTATTTTATACTTATTTTTACAGAGATAAAGTTGTTGATTTCCACTGGAATGCATCTGATCCGTGGACTATTGTTAGTGTGTCTGATGACTGTGATACTACTGGTGGGGGTGGAACATTACAGGTTTATACCTTACAAGATTTTCTTTATTTTTTTCTGTTTACTTTTTGATTTACCAAGGAAAAATGTACTTGGATGTGAGAAGTTGACCCAAAAGAAGAAATAAACTTGGTGGATATTGCATTAAATTTGAAGCTTTAGTGCAGCTACTGAAATGTATGCTGCTGGTGTTTCCAAATTAAATAATTATTGGAGATTATTCATTCTGCAAATTGTCTTGTGAATTGTTGATAATGTGAGAAATTTGGTGGTGTTGTGCCAGATCTGGCGGATGAGTGATCTGATATACAGACCTGAGGAAGATGTTTTGGCAGAGCTCGAGAAATTCAAGTCACATGTGGTTGCATGTGCTTCAAAACCCTGAACTATATAAGAAGATGAAAGAGGTGAGTGGTGTGTAATGAATTTAGGTACTTTTATCATGTGGGTGAATTATATTTAGATTTTAAAGAGGTTGGAGAAATGGTGATGAATTATCCATGTGTAATTTGGAGACAACAAAGAATTTGTAGTCAATTTGTTGTAACCGCTGAGATTTGGCTTGGCCACTTAAACCATTTAGGTAGCTCTGCAACAGGTTTTGATATTGGAAATATGTTCTTCGGCCTCTGATGGCTTCTTTTTCTAAATCTCTTTCTTTTGGGCTTTCTTGGACTTATTTCCCTTTAGCCTTTTGATTTCTTCTCTTTCTTTATATTTCCTTCAATCAATCGAAAGATAAATTTAAGGAATTTCTTATAAAGACTCAAACATTAAACGAGGGCCCTTAATGGATTGGATTCAGGGTGCGTTCTCTAAAATCCGAATCCAATCCAGTTATTAAATGAGGGTGGACCCAGGTTCATATAAATGTTTTGTGCGGATTTTGAGTTAAAACCAGCCCATTCCATCCTGCTCCCAATATATAAATTTTTTAATTTACATATACATTAATATTACATATTTAATGTATATTAAAATATATTAATATTAGATGTTCAGTAACCTAAATTATTGACATGCATCAATTAGATTTGGGTTAAAAAATGGAAACCAACATAAGCAGCTTGATTTAGAATTGCAGGATCAAGAATTTTTTTGTCATCTTAATGTTTTTCATTTACAGCGCGAAAAAGCACTTTGCAGCCCAAAAAAAAAAAAAAAAAAAGAAAGAGCACTTTTGGCTGAAATTAAGATTAAGATATAATGTTAATATATATAAATATATTTTATAAACTAAGACCTTGGATATTTACTTTTCAAATCTTAACCAAGTATTTTATAAATTATATAATATTAATATATATAAATATATATTTATCATTTGCATATATATATATATATATAGTTACATATAAATTATATACATATTTGTAACACATTAAATAATATTAGTATTTCCATATATATTATGTATGTATTATATTATAGATATAATATATGTAATGTTTATGCCATTGTCAGAGATATATATTAGTTAACTAAGGTTTCAATTTATATTTATTGAAAAATTATTAAGAATCGTTATACTCTTTTTGGTCATTTTGGTATAGAAAAGATATTTTCACTAAAGATAATAACTTTCAATTCTAAATTGATAACACTTTATAGATCTACTTTCATGAAACATATAACAAGTTATTCACTGAAAGCAATTACACTGAACAAATATTTAATACTCATAGCAAAAGCATCAATTACATTAAATATAAGTTGAATGGTTTACTAAGGTATTGCATAATTGATTTAGAATCCATTACATCTTAGTGTCGATGTAACTTGTTGGTCATGGTTGTTAGCGAACAGTATTTGACATGTGCATTATCGTCCTTCTACTTTTAATAAACGATAATGCCCTTACGGCTCACACATTTGGCATGAGATTTAGAACTGGGTTTATTTTGAACATTGTAGATCTTTTTGTAATTATTTCATAGCCACTTTGAAAAGTTGATACCAGTAAGCATGTTTGCATGTAATGCAAACTTAAAAGAATTTGGATTCGTCGTACTACAAATATATAATATATAACAATAAGTATATGACTAGATTGATTTTTATCAAAATTATTTTAGGTCTTTAATTAAAAGCGATGTTCTCATTATTTTTGTGAACCCATGATCTCAACACTTTTAACAAGCTATTAAGCTTAGTTTGTCAATAATCTCAAACCAATCAACTGAATATTGATTAATACGTAATTAATCGGACACTATTTGAAAATAACTCTTCTACTCATAAATGAAATGTTCTAAATGCTTTTGGAAATTCTTGCTCCCATTGAACCATTTATATTTATATGTATTAGGATATTGATTTATAGATGTTTTGGTTTGAGAAAGAAAAATATGTGGATCAAACCATTTTTTTTGAATTTTTTTCAAATTCAATAAATGTTTGGTGATTATATATTTCATTATAGTTATGTAATTTAAAGTATTATTTCTTATTTAATCCCCTTGAATTCCATATTTGAAGTTGTGATCGAGTGACAGACTCATTTATGATTCAATTAATAAGGGTGAGCTTCATGTGGCTTGAACAAAAGAGGAAGCAGCAATAACAAGAGCCTTAAGGGAGATCCACAACAACCAGATTGACTGGCACGAAGCCTGATTCATTCACCTATATTCCAGACTCTGATTAGAGCACTTATGTAAAGGCTTCCAAATGAGATTCCTTCCAATAGTCCTTATTGCTTAGGCCTGGAGAAAGACTCATACGT